CTGGTCGTCAGTGCGCTCCTGTCGAGCTTCCTGGCCCTTGCGCCGCTCACCCGCGATCGCGACGGCAGCGGTCTCGCCTTGCTGCGTCGTCGCACTAACGAGGCGTTGGCCCAGCTGCGAAATTTGGGGCGGCCGGTGGACCACTGGGACGACCTGCTGGTCCACCTAACGGTGGAAAAACTCGATCCGAAGTCGAGAGAGGCGTGGATCCACGAAATCCGCGCTGCCGTTGATCCACCCACGTACGCCAGTCTCGATGAGTTCCTGGAGCATCTGGCCGGGTCCTTCGCGAAGCTAAGGATGGCTCCAGAGCCCTCGGCTACCTCCGCGGAGTGTAGGCCGGCCCGAACTCCACCACCGGTACGCTCCCACGCGATGACGACGACGACGGCGAGCCGTTGCCGGAAGTGCGGCGACAACCACCCGCTGTTCCGGTGCCCTGCGTTCAGGGGCATGGCGCTCAACCTGCGCCGGGATTTCGTTAGGGCGCGCGGTTGCTACTTCAACTGCCTCCGTTCGGGTCACCCCGCGACATCGTGTCCCTCCGCGTCGCTCGCACCACACCCTGATTCACTAGGATTCCGGGGTTGGTGGCGGACCAGAGTCAACCGCGGTAGAACCCGGGCGGAAGGCAGCGACGAATATCTCCGCATCGTCCGTGGTCCACAACTGCGTCGCACGCTGGAGCGGGGGCAGGGCCGTACTGCTCGCGACCGCTCTAGTATGGGTAGAGACACGCGACGGGGGGGTAAGGCCGGTGGGAGCCCTGTTGGACCAGGGATCGGAGGCGACCTTCGTCTCCGAATCCCTCATCCAGGCCCTCCGCCTTCCTAAGCGACCCGCGGCTATCACCGTGACGGGTGCTGGGGACGCGCCGGTGGGTCGCGTGACTTCGCGGGTCGATCTGGTCTTACGGTTGACCGGGCGCGGGAACGCTCCTATGCCGCTTTCCGCGTTCGTCCTCCGGAGACTTACCGGGTACGCGCCCAAGACGACCGTCGACATTTGCGTTTACCCGCATCTACAGGACCTCGTTTTAGCGGACCCTGATCCGACTTTAGATCTCCCAGTAGATCTCTTAATCGGGGCCGATCGTTACGGTGATGTGATCGGTCCCGGCCTGCGCCACGGAGCAACCGGCCAGCCAATCGCGCAGAATATCGTATTCGGTTGGGTCGTATCGGGCGCCGCGTTGAAACCCGCCAACGATCCCGATCCCTCCGTGGCGTCCCTGCACTGTCACACGGAGAAGTTGGAGCAGCAATTGCGATTGTTCTGGGAGCTCGAGGAGGCGAGTCCCAAGTCTGTCATTTCCCCTGACGAGTCGAGGTGCACGGAACATTTCGTCAAAACCGTCTCACGGCGGGCGGACGGACGGCTTGCGTAAGTGGCGAGAAGGAGACCCCCCCCTGGCTCCCCTCCCGTCCAGCATTTCGTCCTGGGCGAGGCTTCTGCGCGTCACCGCAATATGCTACAGATTTCTCGCGGCTCTTCGTCGAGGGAAGAATAGTCCCTCGGATTGCAAGATATCGCCGATGCAGCGGGCGAGGATCTTGTGGCTCCGTTGGCTGCAGGGTGGCGCCTTCGCATCAGAGATACGAGCCGTTCGGAAACCCCAATTCGTCGGGCGATCGTCGCCCTTGCGGCGATTGAGCCCATTTCTTGACGAGGCAGGATTGCTCCGCGTGAGAGGTCG